TACGTCTTCTTTTCTGTTATGTCCAGGCCAATATCCCAGAAAACTTAACGTCGGCCCTTAGAGAGAGAGAGAGAGGTTGGAAACTTTTTAGGTGAAGTAGCCAATTCAGGTAAAAATACCCGCCCAAGTCATCATCATCTCCGTCGAGGGGTTTATCCCCCAACACTCTTACTTCTTCGGACGACGAGCTGCAGACCTGAGCTCTGCGCTCCCAAATGCCTCACGAGCACCCGACAAGTCTGCTGAAGATTATGAGACGGATTATGCCAGCCGATGTGCTAGACATGCCCTTGGACTCACGAGCAATTCTGGGTGGAGCTGGCGATCTGCCACCGGTAACGGCACTAGGCAGCGGTGAGTACGTTCACTTAGGACTTGTAAGGCAGTCGACTGGGCAGTCACGTGTCTTTTCCACGCAGGTGGTAAGTGACGAGGTGGTAGCTTTCTTGGCCATCAACGGTCTTCCTATCCATAAGAAGACTAAGGGAGAGTTTCGGTCAATTTTAGGCAGAATTATGCGGCCCTCTGCCAGCGATATATCCACCATCGGAATTTATTGTGGCAAGGGAAGGCCGCCGGATGTACAGTCGTTTTGCAGACCGTTAGTAGAAGGGTTATTAACCCTTGTTAGTTGTGGTCTGCGTGTCGACGTAATCGACAGAACTCTTCACTTCCGCCTAGCAGCCGTACTTTGTGATGCGTCTGCTAGGGCATCCATCAGTTTATTAATGTTGTTGTATTACTCTGTGTATTTCAGTAACGTTTGTTTTTATTATCGTCCCATGTCTGTTGAATGCGTGTTGGCATTTAATTCGTCTCCTTCAGAAACTGAAATAGCACCAATTATCCATAGGCAGACTACTGTACAGCACATTTAGTAACGTGCTCACAACGGAACGAGTGAGTTCCATAATGACGATCGATGAGCGCCCCCTACCATAGTAACGTTAATGTTTTTAACATTTGGGACAACTCGTTTATCTGTCTGGTTTCGAAAACTTTGCCAATCTGAAGAAACTCTGTAGCTGATTGATGTTTCCATTTTAACATTTTGGATATAATTCGCCCCCTTGTGACAAATAGGGAATTCAAAGGTTCAACGCCTATATTCCCCTCAAATAAACTCAAACTGAAGGTTGTCTATGACAGTGTCTCTGAGCCTGCTAGGACGGATGAGGACTTCTTGTCTCCCGCTGATGGCCGTCCTCGGGTTGGTATTTCGCATGTGCTATCTTGTAATCTTGTAATGATAAGTTATTTTCCTTTAGACCCTCTTCATTTAATTTACCTAGGTGTAACGAGGAGGCCGTTAAACGTTTGGCTTCGAAGTCCAAGGGAAAGTGTCTTTAGGTTGTCAAGGGCGGCAGTAAGTCCGGTTAATTAAAGGCTAAAATCGCTGAATGTGTACCTACCACGGAAATTTTCGCAGCGTGCCAGGTCTCTTAGTGCAGTAAACACATGGAAGGGCATCTAATTGCGTCAGTTTCTGCTTTACACAGGCATAGTGCTCATGCGGGATATTCTTCCTCGTAGATATATGACGTATTTTTTATTATTTTTCGTAGCAGTACATTCTATGGTTCAGCCTCAGTCCTGCAAACAGTGCTTACCCTATTGTAGGCATCAGCTGCGTACGTTTGTTGAGAAATGTTCCTCTTTGTATGGTTAGGCCGAAATGGTGGAATGTTCACAGCACTATCCACCTACCAGACGATGTCCTACGACATGGTCCCTTAGGTAGTTTCTCATCGCCTCCATTAGAAAGTTCCCCAGGAAAACTGATGCGGATGCTTAGAAAACTGTCGCAGCCACTGCAGCAAGTAGTACGCAGGTTAGCTGACATGAATGGTGATGGTCAGGCAAAAAGCAGTCCATTGCAGTATGAACATTCAAATGGCCCATTGCCGGAAACGATAGGGTGCTTTAGTCACTTTAATTTTATTCACATAAATCATCTACTAATCGCGACGAATCCTAGTGAGGGATCAGTCGTAGTCGGCGGAAAGTTAAGCTGCATCCCCAAGATCATTAAGTATACATCTGGCAACGCAACAAAGTGTATGCTGAGTATGATGGCATAGAAGATTATTTCTTTCACCCTACCAAGTCATCGCAAATAAAAATTTGTAAAGCTACTTTAGGAACTGCACTCAAGACCTGCCCACTACCAATATCGGTAGGCAAGTACGCCTGTTTGCCAGCCGACGACGAGTTCGTCCTTGCGGAAATCCACGGACGTTGAAACGCGGACTATCAGCAGTGCCTGGCAGGCTAAACACACTCGACGAAATGATGATGGCGCTGGACGGTACTTTTCCCTCATATACTCGGAAAAAAGGTCAGGCTCACTGTTGCTCCCACCGTTCATCGGCCGCTATCCACATATCCCACAACCCAACAGTCCCTCAGCTGATGATACGTGGATGGTGAAGGGCGGCAGTGGTTACGCAAAGAGAACGCCCTCCGATAATCAACTATTTTCCTGTTGGGTTGTAGATTGCCGAACTATAATACATCCGACGGATATTCAAAGCCAATGGCTACCCGCGCAAATTCGTCAACCGGTGCATACGCAAAAGGGACGAAAGGCCAAACCGCACGGACACCAAATCTTGGCGGGCGCTTCCGTATGTTAAGAACGTTTCGGAAGCTGTCAGCCGCCTTCTCGCACCACTTGGGGTTGAAGTGGCACACAGACCGGAGGCAACCATCAGGCGTCTGGTCATGAAACCGAAAGACCCACTGCCACGTCTAGAAACGTCTGGAGTCGTTTATCGGATCTGGTGCAGATGCGGACAAAGCAACTACGTCGGAGAAACCGGAAGACAGCTCCGAACGAGAATGGCCGAACACGCGGCAGCGGTGCGCAGAAATGACGCCAGCTCTCAAGTTGCGGCTCATTCGACGAGATCCGGCCGGAATTCTCGCAAGAGGTGACAACCGCGTGAGCCGGGAGCTGCTTGAATCATGGTTTTCTGTCCCCCAGTCCATTAACAAGTGCAACGAACCTCCCCTTCCATACTCTGTGCTGAGACTTCGCCTAGGCGGAGTAATTGGCCACGCGGGGAGCGCACAGGTGAACACTTGCCAACACCAGGGTCGGTGCGTCAGATGGTCGAGCAATCATCACACCAACATCCAACGCACGTGANTTCTTCTTCTTCTTCAAATATGTATACACCTGGAACTCGAAATTTCGCCTTCATTCGTGAAACATTCGGGCGCGATGCGCTTCGGACAGCTCGCAGCTGGGAGTTATTCTCTACACGAGAGGCAGCAACATACGAGCAGCTACGTTTTCTGCACCGATGTCTCCAAGACGAACTAACCCCACGATGCCTGAGATATAAAGCTCCCGTTAATACGGCCATGGGAAGAGAAGTTGTGAGGCGGTTTGTCAAACAGATGACAACAGTTCTGATCGACGACTGTCACCGGCGTTTGCAGAAGTACAAGGCTGAGATCGAGGAGAACAGAAGGCAGTGTGTCCACACTCTCGGCGATTCTATCGCCGCAGATATTGGAAAGACGATCTCTGCTCTGACACACCACAGGCAAGCCAAGAAGAGAGAAGTTTTGGAACGGAAACTGACTAAGCTAAAACCACCAGGCACAGAAAGCTCAAACTTGGTCCACAACCTCTCGTCTAAGCAGCTAACAGAGCAGCAACTACGAGTGTTGCAGCATGAAACGTGTTTCAACATTGCAGATGCCGATCCTGTCGACTTCATTGCAGCCCTGGAAGCTATGCTTGTGAGAAGTGAAACATCCGACGACATGGAACACTCCATCCGACAGCGTGTTACCTCTTTGCTGATGACACACAGACCAACCAAATGTACTTCACAGAGTGAGTCAAAGGCTATGAGGGAACTGAGGAGGGACGACAGCATTATCATTCTACCTGCTGACAAGGGACGATCAACCATCGTGATGAATAGAGAAGACTATAATGAAAAAGCTAAAAGCCCTTCTTGATGACAGAGAATTTTACAGACCAGTACAGAAGTCACAAGCCA